TTAAACAACGCCTAAACAAATATTATTTTCGCAACTTCACTCATCATGTAATTGTGTTTGAAGAACTTCATGTAATTAAAATTAACATACATTCATTGACTGCTTGTATTTTTTACTTTTTCGCTGGCGATAAAATCTCATTCTTTAAACAGCTGTGATGTCTGTCTTGCCTAAAAAATATTTTCCATTTTAATAACTTCAAAGATTCGGCACAATGTTTAATTTGTTTTATTATTTTCAAGGAACAGGGTAAATATTCTTCTGATTTAGGTATTTTTCATTGAATCAAGATTTGTACTACGATGTAACTTTATAATGTTTATCTATGCCGATTCCTTGTTTATATCGGCACGCATACAACGACAGATTTCTATTGCACATAAACGACGACTAATCACAATCTACCCGTATAGAAATGATATCATCGAGAGCGAATGACGAATCATTGGCACTCGACTCGGCCGTAACGCACTTCCGTTGCATTTGTACGGATTTACATCCTAGTCGCGCCTAAAGAAGTTTTACTTAAAAAAAAACATTTCTATAATTAGGAGTTAACTGTGAATATTGTTGTTTGTTTGTTAAATGTTATGTGTTGTCATGAAATTTAAATTAAACCTTTGTGTCTCGTCCTGCCCTATTTCTAATATTTGGAACATGTTAAAAAAATTAATTTATTAATTTGATAAAATGATTAGTCCTGGGCAAGAATTGTAAAGCTGTGAACACGACCATACTGAATCCGCACGTGCACCTCCTGGGCGACGACGCCGCTTGCATCGCCTATGTGCGACTGACGCAGTACATCGATAAGTACGTTATTTTATTTTATTATTAATAAAAACAATACTTTACATTAAACATTTATTTGCGCATTTGTTTGTTTTCAATTGTATGTTCTAATCAAAGACCAAACATTAACGTACGTTTCTGTATTTTCCTTTTCGTAATCAATATGAAAACAAGCTTTGTTATTGTAGAAAGTTGCAAGTTGGATAATGTTATTGATTGATAAGCTTTTTGGTTTATTTATTTGCTTCATTATAATATACATAAGACATTGAATCAATTGTTTATAAGTACAAAAAATATATGAACTACTTTCAGTGATGTAACTCTTTTCAGCGATGATGGTAAAAATTAGTAAAAAGAAGAAGATACAGTTGAATTTTACTTATTAGTTCTATTGAAAATTATTTTTCTAATTCCTCTATTGTGAATTTGATCTAACAACTTTTTTTAGACTTTTAGTATATTCATTGACCGATTCTCTCGCACAACAGACCAATGTTATAGCAAGGCTATGCTATGAAGAACTTTTCATACTAAATATTGACGAAAGGCTATCAGTTAGAAAACCTAACCTAGAAACCGCACAAATGTCAAAAAAAAACGATCTTAGATAACTGGGTATTTCTGACCCAGCTTTATAACCTACAAGTGACGTTGCAGTTTATGTGTAAAACGCCTGACTGTACAACATGTACATGACATTTGGACAGTATTCAGTATGATTCAGTAGCATAATGCATGCAAGTTGGAGCGTAATACGGCCTTGCCATAACATTGGTCTGTTGTATGGCAGAATCGTCTCATCAATCTTTCTGTTTTTTTATATATAAATATTTTCAATATATTTAAAACAAATATTGTCCGGCTCATTTAAAGCTAACTTCTGCCAATATGGGCACAATATTGGTAATAATGGCTCAATATTCAAATATAGCAGCACGACTCACTCCCATCTGGCCAAGATTTATTTCTACTGGTATATTTCTAAATATGCCTGAGTACCTCATTCCTGGTGTACAAATATATAATATCCAATCTAGTCCACTAGTTTTCACATCGTGATATTACTTATAAATGAGAAATGAAAATATTAAAATTAGAAAATGTGTGTTCACAGTTTCATTGTGAAATATATATTTGTAGTTTTAAGGTTTTTTGAAACCTTATTATCGTTATCATACAAAATACTAAATTTAGAAAACTTTCAGTATTCAATTACGAATTAATAATTATATGTGCAGGAATTACAAAAAGCTGCTCAATTAGCTTTAATTCCCAGGTAAAAATAAATCGTGGCCCAATATTGTTTTCCGTGTTGGCTCTATATGGTTTATCAATATTGTCCTAACATTATATGTACTGTTAACATTTTTCATATAGAACATGGAATAATGGCAATGCAATATAGGCCCTATATGAGCCGAATATTGATAAATAATATTATATATTTTTATAAAGTTGACAATAATGCAATTAAAAATATATTTTTGAGTAAAATTACACATGCAAAATTATTTCCTGGTATGGTTATTAATTTAAAAAGATTAGATAAAATGACAAAAAATGTTTTTATTTGATTGTTCTGTACATTTTTCTATAGTAACAACTTACTTTCCTAATATAAAGAAAACGAAAAATGGTTGCCTCCTCTCTTCAGGCATGCGCAATAGAAGCGTGATATTTTGATTGAGGTTCCTTTATAAAATGATTCAAAGATTTATCATATTTTATATTATTTTTTTATTTTATTAATAATGTTTAGACAAGGGCAAGCGCACAGCCAACAGTCGGAAGAAACGCGAGTGTGGCATAAACGTGACAGTAAATGGCAGAACGTACATTTTCACCGCAGCGGAACGGGATCCTCCGGAACGGGACAGTTTGACTATGCCCATAAGTAAACTCCGGTAAGACTCGAAAAAAATTACTTGACTCGAAATTAAATAATATCAAGCATCATTAGTATTCTAGCTAAAGATACCGAAGTCCTCTTTACAAAAATAAAGTTTTAAAAATACACTTCTAATCACATCTTGTAAATGTTGGCATCTAAGTAAGTGCGGATTTTTGTTAGAAAATCAAAGATATTGTTCTTTATGTTACGTAGTTATAGAATTTATTAAAACTCTCCTTCGATAATTCAGGTTGTTGGGTTATAATTTAACTCTTGTATCTATGGACTGTATTAAACACTGATTTGTTTGTATTTTGTGTATTTGTTGCAGTTCTAATTACAATCACTGATTTGTTACTAAGTTATAATGAAAGAAGATATATTTATTTTTATTGGTTATTTACATGTTGTTAAGCGGACTTTACTTTTTGAAGTGAACAACTAGTTCAATTAAAACACTCCGCTACCCCCTCCACCAGGGGTAGCAACCATTCCGTGTAAAGCTTAATGCCCTGAAGTTTGTCACCTTCATGGTCAATATAATAAAACGAAAAGACGTCCGAACAGATATTTTTTCATGAAACTAAATATTTTGTATTTTATTGCCCATTTTTATAACTGACTTTTGTCAATTATTAGGCTTCATTATTATTCATCATTATTCTTTCTTTATAATACTTCTAGTTTTTATTAGCAAAAAACTGATCAAGGTACAATCTGACGTCATAATCATGATTTTTTTTTAAATTCAAGGGTTTTCTAAAGATCGAAACTATAGTAATCAGATTGGAGTTAAGGTCAGGACTATATGCTAGATGTGGCAAAACTCAACCAAGCTTTAATAATTTTTACCGAGTGGCCAAAAATATGTGATCAATAATAAAATCGAAACGGTGATTTTTTGATTTACCAACTCATGCTGCTTTTTGATTTACCAACTCATGCTGCTTTTTTCAACCACATTTTTTCAATTGAATTTTGTTAATTGTTTATTGTACACATCACAATTGATTGTTCAGTTTGTGATAACAGTTCAAAGTAGACAAATCTTTTTTGATCAACTGCAACTGAACGACCAGAGCGTTCTTCATCTTTGATTAGAAAATCACCAGATCAAAATTGGGCAAACCAATTTTGGCACTTCCGTTTCTTTTAAGGTTTCGTTGCCATGACCAGCGCAGAACTTTTTGTGAAATTCAGATGCCTTTTTATTTTTGCAAACATCAAAACAAAATATGATAAAAATTTTCGATTTGAATGTCTATCTTTCAGTGAACATCAAATAAAAAATACTATTTTTTATGTAACCATGTACGACCAATATGGCCTTATATTAAAAACTTTTTTTCTCGACAAGCCGTGTCTTGTCTGATAGGCCAAGGTTTCGAAACATACTGCAAATGTACGGTTTGCGTCGGACATCTGTGATTGACGTGGCTTTCCACCAAAACTCGTATGTCAGGCATACATATCTGACACAGCTCATGAAGAACTTTCTAGCGTCAGACACATACGACTGAAATGGAGATTAACATATTAATAAAATGATATTTCATGATGAATTTAATATATATTCGCAATTTATTATATTTTCTTTCTCTTTTTCAGCGGAACAAATGCTACTTCGAGCGCAGTCGCGGCTGTTCTCCACTAAAAGTGTATTAATAATAATTAAAAAATTCTAGTTTAATGATAAATATATAAAGATATTTTATCTCTTTGATAGGATGACCATACAAAAAATATTTATGAATTAACTTCGTACATAAAATATTCCAATGGAATTAGATTGAGATGAATGGATAGAGCAAAAATAGACGTCAGGACAGAAAATACACGAGTACGAAAAAGCTTAGTTAGTGTCTCTCTCTGAAGAGAATGTCACGCGCGTTTTTTATTCACTTTAGAATCTGAACGGAGATATCGAAACTGCATTACTAGTCCAAGAAATATAGCCAAAAATTTGTATTTATTTGTTTTATACATAGAGAATTTTTGATCACTGATCTTTGCCAATGACCCAGTTAACCAGGCGCAATTGTGATCGGGAACTCGATGTATTTTATATGTGAGTTAAGACTTTTTGAAATATATCATATAAAATAAAGGTCCAAAACGCTTATTTCTGTGGGCCGCGAGGTTAAAAGTGAGCAAACTGTAAGAGATTTAATACGTTATACGGAAATAACATATATCAAATTTTTAATTAATTGTAACGATGTATTAAATAAGCCATATTAACTCGTAGATGCAAAGACGTAGCTTTTATTTGCACGCGATGGAGATTCAAAGAAATATTATTTTATATTAGTATATTTTTATTTATCAAGTTTAATCAAATATGCCATAATGGATCAGCGTAATAAATTTTATAATATTTTTTCTTTTGTAACCAATATACAGTTAACTCTTTTGCTACGGCAGCGTTCTCCCTGATACTGCTGTACAGAAAAGCAAACCGCCCAGCTGTACATATTTCCATATTTTTCAATAATGATCAATAAAAATGTATTTCAAATTTAAAAATTGCACGCCTAAAGAACTAAAAATTACAATAACATATTAGAATTCCCAATAACTCAACTTTGAGTGATAAATCTTAAAAAAAAAGGGTTGTCACACTGGATGTCGTCTATAGGCGTCACTCGTACACAAGGTAGTCATGTGGATGTTGCCTAAAGGCAAAGCTGGTAGCAAAAGGGTTAGTACACAAAGTACTCACAAGTTTTACTCATTTCATACTTAGATTTTATATGGCATCGCTTGATTAAATCGTTCATCATACATATAATTGTTATACGTATACCCATAGTGCCATATATTACTGATTTTTTTTATAAAAACCAACAGAGTTAAAAATTGATTATTAGTTTTGGCATGATTCTCATACATTTTCCCAGGAACGATAAAGTATTTGGACATTTAGATTTGCATAATTCAAAAAATGGACTTTTCAGTGGTTGAATATCGTCAGTTTCGTTTCACCGGAACCAGTATGCGCAATTAGTGACCATTCGTCTCTTAGATAGCTAAATGATTCGTATATTATATACATACACTTAACTATATTGATATATAATATATCAAAAGTATAAAAATTGACTTGTTATTTAAGGAGTCGTAGTTTTTTCTTAAAATATTAAAAAAAAATCCTATCATACATGCTCTCTTATTCATACTTATCTATCATATATAATAAAAATTAAAAGAATTTACGCCATTTTAATGAATTTGCATATAGATAATTATATATAAATATTTATAAAAAAAGAACTCTTTAATATACTGTCTTCAGATTTTTTAATGTGTTGCTGTATAAATAATTATTATAATTCGAATAGATATTATACAAAAATGTTTGCGATTTGACTCATTGTCGGTAGTGAGCCGGGAATAGTTCCATCGAGATTAAATTGTGATACAAACTCCATATATAATTTAAATTGCCATTAATTTGCAACATCTTTGAACTAAAGTATGTTTTCATATCTTTAACTAGTGTTTGATAAAAGACATTACGGCAATGAATATTTATATCGAGTTTGTCATCACATAAATGCAAGAAAATCTAGTCAAAAATCGTGTAATGCAGCGTGTCGTATATGTGCATATTAACATTTATATAAATACATGAATATTGCTAAGTTACAGATTCATAATTGTAGTATTGATAAGTGATGTTATTTTGAATTTTCAAAGTGTTTCTGTAGAAATTTGTATAAAGAGTGGTACAGATACAAAACGTATATGTTATTCTGAACAATCTAGTCATATATAAATATTATTTCCTCTCCTCCCGAGCCACATGTAGACGCTCTCATTAAAATAAAGCCTTAAGCGAACTCGAGTCATTCTGTGAATCGACTTGGAGTGTTCTTGGCCTAACCCAGAAAATTATAACATCCTTTTAAAATAGACAAATATATCTTTGAAATGTTTACTCGTAAAATATTTCAGGTCGAATCAATGTAGTTATCGAAACAAATGACTTATAGATCCGCTGCCAATGCGTTTTTATTTTATGCATATTTGGGATTAAAATGCCGCGGCTTTTTAATAATGAAACTTAAAAAATTGAATCATTTAATCACAGGGTGTTTTAGCCAAACTAAGCCGTAAGTGATCCTTTGTCGCGAATCAGACTTGCCTCTGATCCAGGTCGAAAAATTAGCATGAAAGCGATCAGAAGCATTTTGGCTATTGTAAAAAAAAAAACGTTTTAAGATTTTAACGTGTAATTGAACATTATAGACACTATTAATACTAATTATTCGCATATGAAGCCAGATACAAATGATTTCGGGCGCGTACTCTTGCAATGCCTTTGATGACAGAAAATATATACAGTTTTTTGAAAATATAATATAGTGTTAAAATTGACTACTGATTGAATTTTGATTTATTTTACCTAGCATGTGGACGATTCTTTTATGAAGCTTGCGTCATATATATTATATATCAGACAACTACCTAACATCAGTGTAAAGCACTAAATTTTAGGTGTTTTGTCATAAATTACACATAAAGAACTTTAAAGTTCCAGATATTCAATATAAAAAGGTTTTTTATATTAAACTCTTGTTAATTACTTATTTCTATTATAAGTTATTTATTGTTATACTTTCTATAAATATATATAAATATTAATTATGTTAATACTGTTTGTTTCAAAGGAATCAATATACTGCTACGAAAAACTGAGATACTAATTAACACTAAATCTAATAACATACATTTGGATAATCGAGCTACCGTAATGAATTATAATATAATAGATTAAATCTATTTTTTTTAAAAAACATAAAATTGATAAATAAATATCAATTCGAAGTAAAACTCGACACATACTTCACAACAATATCCAAAATCTTGCATCAAAGATTTATGCATAGTTTTTATTTTGCTCGATGGGTTTAGTGTTAATTTATTTTTTCATATCATATGGTATATCAAATATATCAAACCATTGAATAAATTAATGGTATAATTGATTCTGCAAACTAACAGTTTAAAATATTATCGCAATCTGTAGTATGTATTAATTTTCAACGATTTTACACAATTTATATATCTCTTTGATATAGTAATAATTGTTTTTGTATAGACTGTAATATTAATTCCTCTTAAACTTTTTTGAAATTATTATTTATATTGTTGCAATTTAGTCAAGTGAATTCGTATCTCATGGAATATAAAACTATGTTCAATAGAGATAGAAATTTCAACTATTGAATTACCTCATTCATGACAAGTTGCTTATAAGTCCCAAAAAACAATTGTAATATGTATATATATAACTGCATGTTAAAGTACTTAAAATCCATTTGCGTCTGATAGAAACTAGTTTGTAATGCATTTGATTTCATTGATCTTTACAATCATTTTGCAACTAGCATAATCTAATTTTCTAATATGATACGATTTTATTATAGAAAATATAATGTTCTGAACATATTTATAATCTACTAAATCACATATTTTAATAATAAGAATTACTTTTCACTGAATCTTTTTTCAAAATTTCGAATTCATAAAAATTATAGGACATAAATTAAACTTAATTATAGCAAAATATTATACAACGCCGGATTCATAATTCAATCATTTTATATTAATATCTTAGAATACACTTCACTGCATTGTAAATACATTTATTATACAATATTCATAGTACGTTCTAATTTATTAATATTAAATCTGCACAAATTTGTAAGGTGGTAAATCATTAAATGAGAAATCGGTAAAATGACCATTTTGTTTCCTAGTTATTTTATGCAAAGTTCAAACGTGATAAAAATTCAAACTCGATGGTAATGACAAGCATTGCAGTGAATTGTAAGCAAATAAATATATAATTCGACTGAAAGAATCTTGTTATTGACTTGATACTCTACTTCATTGTTTATTTATTAAGACCTATTTATAACCATAGAAATTTGGACTTTGCTTGTATGTTATAGCTCTCATGTCAAACTCTTTCATGAAAATAAATATTATTGTCAAGATTTTATTTTATTATGCTAATTTTCAATTTTAGGTTGCTACCATAAGGTTTCGATGTTGAATCCCAGGTTGTGTGTAACCTGAAAGGAAACAGTGGTGATGTCTATTTTCACTGGATAATATAGATCAATAGTTTGCAAGTAAAAATAGCAGGCAATTAGAGGAAGACTACCAATGGGGAATGCTGTTCAAAGACAAACAAAAAAAAAACAATTATGAATTATAAATTTTGTTGAATACTTTGGAAATTTGTAACAAAACAGCAAAGTCCTTATAAATGAGCATACAATGTTGTCAGCTTTAATTATTTTATGTTAGATATCTCAACAATTTTGGTCCAAATCTTAATATGGTGTACACTATAGTGTATTTACTTATTTCAGTATTATAGTGACAATTGGTATCGTTGCTTAAGAGGTTTTCAAATCCAGGCTGCACCGCCTCCACCCTCTACCTATTTCCACTTGATACAAGTTCTTGAGGTCCAGGAAGTCAGTGAGTCAGTCTTTCACAGTCCGCTTTAGAGGTCCAATGTGTCCTACGAATGATAACCTGATGGGACCCATAGTTTAGTTGTAATTGTGAGTGTAGAATACCATTTACAAGAAGACAAGTCCAGTGTGAAGGTCAGATCTCTTATTATTAGCTGTAGATATTTTCCCCATGTAATAGTGTAAAAAAGAATTACAAATATTAGTTAAAGAACATGGCTGTATGCAAGTGCAATCATGTTCCACAAATAGTTGTAAATAGATAAATTTTTTATTGAATAGGCTTATTTACAATGGTAATCTCGATTTTATTTGTACTGCTACTACCCCCCACTGGTAATTACAGGTGTTTTTAGAAGGCGAGAAAAGAATGCTAGGGTTTATGCTTGAGATCTCAAGATTTAGGGATAGCAATGTTGAATTATATTGCATAAAAGTTTGTGCCCCCAAAAGGAGAGTAGCCCAAAACACTATATACAAAAAATTTATATTGAATTGGACTTTGGCATTGGAGCCTGACTGAACAATATGTCACCGTCATACATTTCTTCAAATATGTATATATATATATATATATTATATATATATATATATATATATATTTTAATGTGGCAAAATTTTCAAGGCAGTACATCAAACAAAAAATTGTGGAAGTTTATAAAATCATTAAACAGCCAAACATGTCGATATATTATTTTATATCATCCACTTTAGAATTTGAGGAATTTGCTTTCCAATACTCCAATTATTCACTACATAAATTATTCATTAACTACAAAAAATAATATATTTAGTGAATAACTGGAGTATTTGAAAGCTTTTTTAAATTCTACTGAAAATGATATAAAATAATATTGAAACATTTGGCTATTTAATAAAGATTTTATAAACTTCTACAACTTTTTGTTTGATAAATTTCCTAAAACATTAAATAAAAACTCAACATATATAATATAGTACCCTGCAAGTACATAAGACATTCTGTGGTATAAAACAATATTTGAAATGAGAACAACTCAAATGCAAAATATCATTTAATGATAAATTCATTATAATTTTTAGAGAGAAATAGTATTACCATAAAAGATTACATACTACATTAATTTAATTGCTAGTTCTCTCTGCATGAAATCTGCATAGAAGTTTCTAATTATTGCATTCCTATCATTTTTATTATCACGACCTTTCCTTCCGCTCTTCACTCATTTAAAATCAAAGTATGTATTCATTTTATTCGGTACTTTATCATGCTTTGTTTCCTTACATCGGAATGAAGAGGTGTAGACATCTCAGAAAGTCATTAACCTGTTGGAAAATATAATAATGATATATAATATATTACTTTATTTATAGCATACTATTTTAGTTTATATATATATATATATATATATATATATATATATATATTCAAAGCATGAGGTTTTTCAGATGGTAAAAGATATATGATAATATTTTTGGGCATCCAACCAATAATAAAAAGAATTGAATGAAGAAGAAAGTCTTTATTAGAATAGCATAAGTTTCGAGTCTTGGTTTGATCCATCTTCAGTGCTACAATAACAAAATTATAAGATAAAATAATAAATAATAACATATTTCTAAAACAATGATGATAATGAATGTTACAAGTAATATGGAAAACATAACCAAAAAAAAAAATTGAAGATCAGTTATATTTTCCATATTGCTTTTAACATTCGTTATCATAATTGTTATAGAAATGTTATTTATTATGTGGAAATAGGTAATTGTTAAAAAGATTCTTCATCTAGAAATTTGAGCATGTTGAAATACTACAGAAGTCATTGTCTGTGCAGATATAGAAGTTTCTCTCTATAATAACATATTGTTAAATTGAAATCAATGCAACCCTCGCGATTTGTTAATATTTCTTATAATGTGGAGTTAATAAACTTACCTAATACCTATTTCTCCACCTCCTTATTGTAAACGTAAACGTAAACTCTTCTTTTATCTATGGGTTCATGACATAATTTTTGGTGCAAATTATTAATGCACTCCTATACCTTATTACTGCATTCTGCAGCAATTTGCAGCTACCACCAAGCATTTCTATTGAACATATTGTTATATCATATTTGATTAATCAATTATTTTTGCTGCAATTATTATGAAAAAATACCTTTGTGAAAAACTGGTGTCAGAATAGGCGACTTTTAGCCTGCACTTGACAATCTTAGGGTACTGCAAAAATCTTTTTCAAGGTTTTTAGGCTTTTATCTCCTAACTAAAAACATAAGATTCGTTTATTAATATTTTTTTGCAAATGTATTGAAGTATTTAGAGTTATAATTACTTGGCCTTGTCCTTGGAGTGTTGTCCTGGTCCTATATCAGAGCATTCTCCAGTGACTTGTAAACTATTCTGTTATTGCCATAAAGGAGACACTTCTAATTGTTTTGTTTTCAAATTATCTTCGATTTGTGCCTCAAACCAAATAGTTAGGTCATCCAATAAAGGATTTTTCGCCTTCTGCTTCCAAATTCAAAATATCTAGACCATTTTCATAATACATATTCATTATATGCATAATACATCATCATATACATACAATTAGATGCCAGAAAGACGTATATTTATATTATTTTCACAATTTGGCACATTACACTTTACCATTTTATCTTAATAATAAATAAAGTAATCACCCATAATACCCATAATACTCTTTAAAAGATTCAAAGGTTTTCTTTATTTACAGTGATTCACCTCCTTATGGTACGCCTTGTCCGTAAATGAACACAAACAAAGCTGGTCTAGGTACATGTTTAACCATTTAAGCATTTCATTGAAATATTACAACTGTGGCTTGTAGACATTCTCTGTGCAGACATAGACATTTCTATCTGGAATAACATACTGTTAGATTGATATCAATGCAACTCTCACAATCAGTTATATTAAACAGATTGTTCATATTTTATTTATAATATGGAGTTAACACTATGCCGTCCGGCGACACAACAGTGGTGTCGAGCGCAAACTAGCGCTTAACAGCCGGCGACACCACAGTGGTGTCGTGAGCACAGTATCTTCCTTTGGCCAGTGGCAGAAATCTTTCCATCCTGTTGGTGTTTTAATTTAGATAACAAAAAGTTACACCCCTCAACATTAGTAAGAACTAAAAATTTGTAATTTTTCGATAATATTTAGAATGGGCGGGGAAAAGCAAAGTGATAACGAATTAGCACTACCGGCGCCAAGCGAATAAATTTTTACAAGACGTGCGGACGGCAAAGTGTTAATAAAATGATTTAATACCTTGTTCACCTCCTTATCATAGACAATTCAAAGGTTTGCTGATTTTTATTATGGTACGCCTTAACACCTGTGACTGACCATAAACCAGGATGCTCTTTATACATGTTTAACTATTTAATGGTTTAACTGTTATCACGTCAATACATGCTGAAATATCACAGCATGTTTAAGTATTACAGCTGTGGCTTGTAGACAATGCCTGTGCAGACATAGACATTTCTATCTGTAATAACATATTGTTAGATTGATATTAATGCAACACTTGCAAAAACCATATTAAAAAGATTGTCAAGATTTTTTTTTATGATGTGGAATTAATAAAATGATTTAATACCTTGTTCACCTCCTTATTGTAGACGCTTCGAAGGTTTGCTGATTTTTATTATGGTATAACTGATCATTAACAGGGATGCATTTTATACATGTTTAATCATTTAATTTTTTAACCATTTTCACAACAATACATGTAGAAATATCACAGCTCTGTGGTTGTAAACATTGTCTGTGCAGACATAGACATTTCTCTCTGCAATAATATACTGTTTTAATGATATTGATGCAACCATATTAAATCAATTGTAAGTATTTTTCTTATAATGTGGAGTTATTAAAATTATTTAATACTTGTTCCCCTCCTTATTGTAGACACTTCAAAGGTTTTGAATCTTTTTATTTTCTTTATTTACAGTAACTGTGTTTGCAACACCATCAACCTTTTTAATCATTGGTAATATTGCATTTAATTAGTAGTACCTTGTCGACAAAATAGTATGCCCTGTCCATGCTGACTAAAAATAAGATTTTTATACATGTTTAATCGTTCTCACGCTACAATAATACAAACAAAAGATTATTGCTTTAATAATAATTATTATTTATTAGTCTCTATTGAGTTAATAAAAGAAAGTAAAGTATATGCACAAATGTTAAATCATTTGCCAGAGAAAGGTTAGGATAACTTTTACATTAGGTTTCTAATCAGAACTGTTTTAGCTGCAGTATTTATTAATTTTACTAAATAAATACCTTTTTACTTCGTAAATCTTTCAGATATTATTTAAAAGCCACTCTGATGTCTTTTTCATAAATTTCAATACTAAAATTATTTACATTGCACAACTGCTGTCACTTTGAGAGATGTCAAAATTATGTCAACATGACTAACTAGGTCAGATATGTCAAACATACGGCCCGCGGGCCCCTGGGCTGTCTCAAGAATCATCATTAATCAATGATCATTAATTTGGGCTTTAAGTAATAAATGGTTGATTTTATTTAGGGAATGCAATTCCGGTATACCGAATATTACCGGTAAACCGTGCGATTTTTCGGCGGTAATTTTACCGGTATTTATTAAAAAAATACCGGTATTTTCGGTATTTTTTACATAAGCGCTATTTGATACATAATACATTAAAGTTTAAATTTTTCGGAACAAATTTATCTTTAAATTCCATAATCTCATAAACAGCTATATCTTCAAGTGATTCTATAATGTTAAAATGTCAAATATTATCTCAACTCGTCATCAAACTGAATATTTATTGCTTTTCAAAGGGCTTCATATCGTGTTACATAAATAGAATTGGACTGATAGATAATGATGTTTGTTTCATCTTTTGTAAAAATGTAACAGTTTTTTAGGTGATATTTGCACCAAAATATTTTATATCATACAGATTACCCTTGCGTAAATCTTTATTTTTTTCTAACTTTATTTATAATAATTATGATAATTACTGAATATTTTTGCTTCTTATTACAAATATAAAATATTATTTTTCGAAAATGTTTCGAAGTTTGAAAATACTATAGAAGCATCACATTGTTTTAAATAACGATACTCAACAATTATAGTAACTTATTATTTATCTCGACAAAGAATCCAATCTTAAATTATTGTTGAAATTTTTTTTTTTTTAATATTTAAGATTGTGCTAATTTAACACATCGGATACAGACAATACAGTTTATTATAAAAATGCAATATGATCTTTTATGGTTTTTGGTCTTTCTTACTCATAAGTTTGTTTTTGGTGAAAAGTACTCAATATACTCGATAGTGATAATGGAATTAATTAAATTACATATACTTTTGTTA